TCCGTTGGCGTCCCGAAGAGACAAAGACAGGAACGCAGGAACGTGGTGAAAGCACGGTGATTTATTTCCCGGCCAAAACAAAGTCAGCACTGGGAGTGGCTTGCTCCCAGTGCTGTATATAGAAGTGCCACGCCCCTTCCCCCCGCCCCCAACAGCAAGCCAACATCCGTCTGTATCCCATAAATGTCCCCGTAGTCCGGTCCCGCCCCTCTCTGGCAGCCGTCACGCCGGCCTTGTTCTCTCGCCGGCTGCTTGGCTGTTGCAGCAAGCCATCGCCCTCCCAGTTCTTCTCTCTACAGCCTTGCTCACGCTGCAGATGTCCTTCCTCAGGGCCTGCGCTCTCTTGGTCCTGACTGTCACATGGGCTGGCCAACGGACCAGGGGTTGACGGCTCGGCGGGTCTTTGCGGGCGGCAGCCGCGGCCGGGCCCTTCCCCGACGTCTGCGGTCCTTTTTGGCGCCCCGCGGCCACCTTCCGCGATCCTCCGGCTCCCCGGCTGGGCCGTGGCCAATACCCGGCCTCCGCCTGCCTCCCCCCTCACCCCCGCGCTGGGCAAGGCCGGCTGAGGCCTCCAGGACCCACTCGCGGTAGGCGGCGGCTCGAGGGAATGAGGGGAGGGGGGTGGGTCGTACCTGTCGGCCGGGTCGGCGCCGGAGAAGAGCTGGGTGGCAGCGTGTGGCGGTTGGGCGGCTGCGGCGGCGTTCGGCTGCTGCTTCCCCCCCCGGAGGAGAGCTGGGTGGCAGCATGTGGCGGTTGGGCGGCTGCGGCGGCGTTCGGCTGCTGCTTTCCCCCCCCAACGGATGGCAAGCCCCGCGGAGCTTGACATGCGGCCCCCTCTACCACGGCTCCTCCTGGAGAAGAAAGGGATGTGGGTAAGGTTACGCCCCTACCTGTAGCAGCCCCCGGCCTTCCCGGGTGCTTATGGTGGAATGCCCGTACTAGTCGTGGAGCATGGACATCCCCCTCCCCAACCCACGAGGCGTCAGAGAGGGGGTATCCCTTCCACCGGATGAGGTATTGTACTTTTCCGTGGTGGGTCCGAGAGTCGAGCACCTCCTGCACTTCGTACTGTGACCCGGTAACCGGTCCCGGCGCCGAGTGCGACGGGGCCTGAGGAGCTAGCTTCAGAAGGCTTGCGTGAAACACAGGATGTACCTTTCCCAACAAGGGGGGCAGCCGCAGCCGTACGGTCACCGGGTTCAGTACACGCGTTACCTGAAACGGCCCTACGTATTTGGGACCTAATTTCTTACAGGGCACCCTCAGCCGTAGGTATTTGGTGGACAGATATACCCAGTCCCCCACCTGAAAGGGTTTGTGCTCCCCCCTCCTTTTGTCGGCCTGTGCCTTAACCGCTGCTTCGGCCTGCTTGAGGGCGTCTTTCACCTGGCCCCACAACGCGGTTACCCGTGTGATCCAGGTCTGTGGGGAGTGGGGAGTGACCGTCCCCTGGGGCCACTCGGGGATGGGAACAAAGTCTAACCCATGCACCACCCGAAAGGGGGCAAACCCTGTGCTGCCATGCACGGTGTTATTGTACGCCACTTCAGCAAACAGCAGGAGGTCCACCCAATCGTCCTGCT